GAGTCTGGAAATGTGCCCGGTATATGGCAATAGGCTCACCCCCTATTACATGGAACTCATAACATAAATAGTGAAAAGTGTGTTACATTGTACAGTGGCATTAAGTGCCGTAATGTGCACCTCTGTCTACCCCTTCGGGGATAAAAGGCGTGATGTTATCTTATGTTTCTAACTTATAGCTGCAATAATGTGTTTGTATATTTGATTCTGTCGGTACCCACCCGCCTCCCCACCGCAGACACCGCGCCAGGTCGTTGCCAGTGCCCAGTGGTATCACTCCCACGGCTGGCTGAGTGTCCATCTGCACTTTATCTGAAAGATATAGTTAGATATAGTTACAAACGTAACAAATTGCTACTTTTTTGAAAGTTGGGTAGAGACGGACGGACTGCCTCGTTGGCCGAGTGGTCGCAAGTGCGACTGCCGGGCAAAGGGTCTCGGGTCGGTCAAAGTATTATTGTTTTTTTTTAATTCTCATTGGTAGCATGGAGTCTGGAATAGTGTCCGGTATATGGCAATAGGCTCACCCCCTATTATATAGGACTCATAACATAAATAATGAAAAGCGGTTGTTACATTGTATAGTGGCATTAAGTGCCGTAATGTGCACCTCTGCCTACCCCTTTTGGGATAAAAGCCGTGATGGGTTAATTGTTTAATAAATTGTAACACTGTCTAACAAATACACCTTATTTAATAATCAGTTTTGCCAACGAAAAAACTATTAACATTTTACTTTTACCTGTATCAAAAACCAAAACTCTCATTTATATTTTGAAATTGAACCCTGTTACTGCAATAATAAGGGTACAAATAGCTTACCCATAGTCTCAAGCACCCATCCAACCGTGCCGTCTCCTCCACAGCATATCACTCTGTAGTTCTTCACATCTTTGAACATCTGCAGCCCTGGTAATGGCAAAATATGATCTATTTTAAAAACACAACAAAAATGTCCTTTTTCACGTTTAGCCCATAAATCCCCACTTTCCACTAATATTACATTACATTATAGACCTTATTTCTAATGTTTAGAGAATACTTTTGTATGACCAAATTTAGGGGATGGATATCAACGGGTTAGTGTCTACTTGACGTGCTCCCCATAATTGGGATGATGACAGGGTATGAAAAATAAAAATCTAATTAGTCCGTAAGTTAGGCAACGATAAAATATTAGACACGTATTTTTTATTTTGTCGTGTAATAAAACAATACTTAGATAAAACGAATCAAAGTTTAAGAGTGGTATGATTACCACTCTTAAACTTTGAGCTAAAACGTCATTTCTACGTGTAAAATTTACATAGAAGTGACGTCACGCGACATTTCAAATCAATATATCGTCGAAAGTATTCGTTTCGGTAAGAAAATAAAAAATACGTGTGTAATGTTTTAAAATACATAGACGAACGGCGGGACGCCACCCTTATATGGTGGACATTCCACCCATTCGAACGAAGCGTTTCGCGTCAAGCTTCCTCATGCGAACCGCTAAGGAATGGAATTCCTTGCCAGAGGCTGTGTTTCCCGTCAAATATGACTTGGGTGTCTTCAAGTCCCGAGTGAACAGGTTGCTCATAGGTAGGCGTGCTCCATCGTCGACCACATCATCGCTTACCATCAGGCGAGATGGTGGTCAAGCGTCGACCTATAAAGCATAAAAAAAAAAATAATAATAATCTACTACACGGAATTAAAACCTTCAAAACCTTTCTATCAGATTCATATTTGGTTTGCGCAAGTATGATCATGTTTCTGAATTTCGTAGTATGCTCAAATGGCTGCCTATCCGCCTTCGCTGGAACGCTCATATCCTTTCGTTACTATTTATAGTCGGAATCTTAATTAGATTCCAGATTTGACAATAGCTTCTGTCATTTTGTGAAATAATGATACCACATATAATATTGTAGTGATGAACACAAAAATCGATAAACAATCAGTGTGTGTGTTTTATAATAAATGTTACAGAAAGTGACAG